TCAATTGCATGGGGATCAATCTGTTTCTTTCTGTTTTAGTGTTGATCTGATGGCAGATTTGAAAGATGGGAAATGTTAATTAATGCACTCGACGTGATCAGATTTCTGGTCCAAGTTGATCAAGCTCAGGTCTAACCTACTTCATATCCATTTTTATATCACTGTAGCAGAAGTTATCCTGATTTTTCAAGGCCTAAAGATGGAATCCAACTTCATGGAGGAATCCTTCACGAGTTGGGAATGAAAGATCAGCAGTTCTATTTCATTTTGTAAAAGAAAGAAGGCCAAATAGGCCACTGGTCAGATCAAGAGAACAAGAAAAGCATTTAAGAATCCTTTCCCTAACAAAATAGGGGCTATCAGCCATTGTTCATCACTGAAGTCGTCCATCCATACTGACTGTGTGCATGCTTTACAGACATTGTACTTAAGAGTCAGTACGAACAGTAGAAATGACCTTATTTTGGGAGTACTTATAGGTAAATTGGGGTTAAATTTTAATTTCAACTGTAAACAACATCTACTTACTTGCGTCCTAGAGCATCACCTTGGAATAAAGTGGCTAAACATAAGTTCTTGAACAAGAAGGTAGGTTCAGTTGAAATGTTTCATTGAGGAAAAAGTTACTGGCTAGCTTGCATGGAGAATTAATAATTGTTAGTTCTTAACATGAATAAGAAAGTAGTTCTATCTATGCTTTGACAACATGTGTGGAGCTCATGATATATGTATGATATGTGGGCGGCTAACCATACATGAAAACAACAAATGCAATTTCATTTGGATCGGTTCATAGCCAATCATACTTATTGGTCCAGGTGTGAATTGGGACACTGACCATCCCTTTTTAAGTGACCCAGTCCAACTTATAATTTTTCAAGAAACCCTACACCTAAGGTTCCTCACACAAGATGCAAATGGGCGACCTAAGAGCTGCTCACCCACACAATAGACTGCCTTGGTAAAAGAGTCTTTTCAGGTGATGCCCTTGGAAAGGAAGGTTAATTTGCTTTCACAAAGATTCTGTGATATTCTTAAAAGAGAGTGGACAGCAAGGCTGGCAGAAATTTATTCATTGTACATTGGTCATTATATTTTAATTGTAAAAGGCTTTTGATAGAGGATCCCTAGAATTCACTAGGAATGAGTGTTGTCAAAGGTGCTAGGTGCTAAAAGGCGCCAAGGCTCTAAAACACTCGAGGCGCTAGGCGCTCGTCTAGGTGCTCGCCCGAGCGAAACAAGACGCTTGCCAATATAAAAATATAATTAAGAGGAAAGACAATAATTAATATAAAAATTTGACAAAATATAAGTTTTATATCACTTCATAATCAAATTATCACCATTAAGACATTAGTAATTTATTTAACATCTATAAAGCATTTAGTGACTTAAAAAGGTGCTCGGGCGAGGTGAGGCGAGGCTCGAGCGCCTCATATAATGGCCAGGCGACGCTTGCCCGAGCCCAAGCATCGGGCACTTCGAGCGAGTGCCCGGTTGATATAAGGCAATCGGGTTCAGTTAAATGTGTTGTTAGTTGGTTCGATTGAACCAACTAACGCACGCAGTTACCTCAAAACTTGTGCGTGACCTTGACTCCCAACCCTAGCATGCACTTTCTCCCTCTGCCTCCATCGCCGATGATTTCTCCCTCCGCCTCCGAGTCTTCCTTTGTTGCCAACCGAGTCTCCTCAGCTTTCATTGTTGTCTGCTATCTGCCGCTGCTGTTGCTGCTATCCGCGACTTCGTTGTCGCTGCTGCTATCTGCTGCCTCCTACTGTCTGCGACTCCGTTGCCGCTGCTGTAGCTATTGTCTGCTACTTCTCTTATGAGTTTTGACTTCACTGTCGGTTTTACTAGGTGATATTTTTTATCCATTTTAACAATTATATTTTTCCCTTCTAATTGCTATTAACAGTAAATAATATATTGTTAACAGTTGATTATTAATTATTGTACAAAATAATTTTTTATTTATTAGATTAATAATATTATATATTTTTGTATTTTTATATTTTAGAACGCCATGCTTTGCTCTGGCAAGCGCCTAGCGCCTCGGGCATTTTAGGACCTTAGCACCTAATGCTTTTTAAATCACTAAAAGTATTAAAGTATTAAATTGACCAAATATAACAACAAAAATAACAAAACACAAGAAAATTAACAAAAAGTCCAAGAATTTTGGTAAGAATTCTAACAATGATAAATTAAAATCCTAGTAGTAACAAATTCAATAATTAATGGGGATGTCAAGGAGAGAAAGAAGTAGGAAGAGGAGAGGGCACTCGTGGGAGGGGAAAACTGGCTAAGAGCAAGGGAAGGGGCGGGGAAAGAAGTAGAGAGAGAAACAAGAAGAGAGAGGGGGAAGGGGGTACTGTCGGTTGCTAGTGATCTTTGGAGTCGCCTTAAGAGAGAGATAGAGAGAGGCGAGGGGGGTCGAGGGGGGAGAGAGAGCCAAGGGGGAGGGGAGGTGATTATGTTAGGAAGAAGCAAAGAGAGGGGGAAGGGGGCATTACCATTGGCCTTCGTGGTCGTCGGGAGTTACCGAGAGACAGAGGTGTTGCCACCGAAAGTAGAGGGAACGACATGACAAGAGAGAGACAAGAGAGGGAGGTACGACCACGAGATATGGAGGAGGGGACAGCACGGCGGGAGCTCAAGGACTGGCACCGACAGAAGGTGGAGAGGGATGGAAAGAGGGAGAAGGAAAGAGAGGAAAGAGGAGAAGATACCTTCTTTCACGAGGGGAAGCATCGTTGGCTTGCACACAAACATCGGTCGTCAGCTTGCACACTTGCTCATAAGAGTAGATGCAGTCACCTTGCACATAGACGAAGACACGATGATTAGGTTAAAGGAAAGGGGTCACACATGAAGAGGGGTTGGGGATAGGGATTAGTGAGCTTAGTGAGCTGGGTTATCTTGCTTGGTTGAACCGATCAATCGAATCATTCAATTCGGGTTCAACTCAAGCTCATTTAAAGCTAATTTGGGTCAGGCGAGCGCTTTGGCTACCCAACACCTAGGCCCAAGCGCATGCCTAAGCAGCACCTAGTTGAAGGTGCCGGCCCAAACCCTAATTGAGGTGCTCGGGTCTCGCCTCACCTCGCCTGGGCGCCAAGGCGAGCGCCTAAGCATTTGTTGATTTCATTGCTAGGGACAAAAAAATTAAAATACCTGATTTCTGTCACAATTATACTGGTTGTTGCTTCATATATTACTTGTGTTTGTTAATTGCTGTCATCATTGCACCACAATTTGACTCAAGACTCTGCATAATATTTATCATAACTGTGAATCCTTCATCTGTATTTGATCCATGAAGTTACCATTATTCTAGGTTTTAGCCATTACACTTTTCACTACCAATCCTTCATCTTCATTTACTCCTAGCAGTGCCATAAAGCATGCTGTCTGTGGAAAACCAGGTCATGCATGCACAAATTAAGGTAGACATTGCTTTTAACTTTTGGCAGATTCTCATCTAATAAGTTGAAATGGAACCTTTAGTCTATTGCCATATGAACTCCTTTTGATTTGAATACATTGGTGCAATCTGTAGCATTTTTCTCTAGCAACCATTCCTCCAACTTCTCGAAGACTCTTGGATTTTACATTTTCAAAAAAGAATAAAGTGCTACAATTGAAAAAACATCTGCAAATTGTGGAAGGTTTTTTTTTTCAAATAGATGATGGATTAAATCTTGTTGGGTTATATTTCTAGGCCCTTAAAAACAGGACATGGGAATTAATGACAAAAAATATTGCTTTTAGCATATATATCAGGTGAAAAGCGGTTTGGAAATGGAGACCAAAAGCATAGCACCAAATTAATTCCAATTTTTGAGTGATTTGACGTAACATAATATTATATGCCATCCTAAGAGCTGATCATTTCCAACTTAAATCTGCTGATGCTCTTTGATGAACACTTGGTGATTTATTTCACGGCATCTATGAGGCTTAGATATGGATATGAGATACTAATACGTCGGAATATGTTGCTATGTCAATTTTTGAAAAATGGATGTAAAATGGCAATGACAGACCAAAAAATTTTCATTTGTTAGTAATACATATTACAAAGCTTGGCATTTGCTATAGTATTCTAATATGTAGTTACATATCATTATGAAAACAAGTAATCAGAAAAAATGTTCAAAGAATATGCATGAGCTACCAAGAACTTTTGAAAAATAAGGTAGGACCATTACTTAAACTTATTTTATCAAAATCTAATGTTTGGTAAAAATAGTCAATAATCTATCTGATGATGTACTAATCTTTTCCATGTTAAAGAACAACATTCAAAGGAAGCAAATAAGTGTCTAAGAAGTAGCCACAAAATATGCCTCTAAAAAGCATCCTAGACATTAAATATCGTGCAGTATCCGATATGTGTCTTGGGAGTATTTAACAATCATCATATGCAACATATATTCGATATAGATATTGGAAGTCATTTGTATCTGTTCTTCATAGCATAGCATCAATCATCCTATTATGATAAGGCAACATCCTTTTGGGATCTTGAGCTCTGAAATGTAGAGGAAAAGGCAGTCTGGAAACTTAGCACTGAGTTTTATTTTGACTCCCACATTACTTGTGATAGAGAAAAGGAAGTGCCATGGAAAAAAAGGAAGTAAAGGTAGGCTCCTGTCTTTGGGCATAAGAAGTTGAGGTAACATCGAAATGATATGGACAAGAAGGTAGGCCCCTATTTCCATCATAAGAGGTAATATTGAAACTCATGAGAATGATTGGTGCCCCAACATTCTTTGGACTTGGGAGCCAATTTACCTTCAGTGTACCCACCTTCTTTCTTTCTTTGCAAGCCATTATCCCTCCTTATTTTATGTATCTAAATTACATAAATAGGGTGTGTTGAGATCAAGAGAGGCTTAACAAAGAAATTTTATAATGTCTAATCATCAGTATTTAGATGGCATCTTGTATATTTGTACCTTTTGTTGCTTCAGCTGAATTGCCTTTTTTTGTAGGTTACATCACCTTATGGAAACACACTTCACCACAAAGAGCATGTTACAGCAGGTCAGTTTGCATTCACAACTACTGAAGCCGGCAACTACTTGGCATGTTTCTGGATAGATAGTGGTGATAAAGGTGTTGGAGCCAGTGTTAGCCTTGACTGGAAGATTGGAATTGCAGCGAAGGACTGGGATTCTGTTGCCAAAAAAGATAAGATTGAGGTGAGCACTTAGAGCTACAAAGCAAACTCGTCACCTTGGTATATAGGATGTGCAATTCCTATTTGAGGTGCATTTTTTTGGTGACAATTATGGCCAAGCTTCTCAAAATGTAGGGCGTTGAGCTAGAGTTGACAAAATTAGAAGCAGCTGTGCAAGCAATCCATGCAAACCTGCTTTATCTTAAGTCCAGGTAATTAAAAAAAGAAAAAAAGTGGTTTCTTGTCAAATATTCCATGCAGTTGTGGGTAATAACTAGCATCTGATCATGTATTGTTTCTTCTGTATTTTTTTATGCTTTCAGGGAGGCAGAGATGAGGGAAGTAAGCGAGAGGACGAATGCAAGGGTTGCATGGTTTAGTATTATGTCCCTTGGTGTATGCATTGTGGTTTCCATGTTGCAGTTGTGGCACCTGAAGGGTTACTTTCAAAAGAAGAAACTTATCTAGTTTGTATATATGATAATGTAGTCTAGTGTGCAATACTATAGAGAAACCGAGAGACTCCAAAGAATGCTGTCTATTTTGGTTTAGGATTGGCAGAGAATAGTGATAAATGTTTGATGACAGCATTAAATGTAACATGAGGGTGTCTAAATGGTAAAAAATGAATCGAAGGGCATATGAATGATTAATCGTTGTTGTTCGAATTACTCTTAATTTATTATACTGAGATAAATATCGTAATAATTATGAACATGTATTTCATTTAGATGTCATATATATGTTGTTAATACAGTAGTCACTAGCAAATTCTGATTCGATGCAGGTAGACTTTTGTTCGTCTTGCCTTGTGTTTCCGAAACACTTGAACGAGTAGTGACAGCTCATACCATCTATGTTCCCATGTTTTGGACGGTATGCGAGCAATTTACACGAGTTGTTGGATGTTCATAGAATTTGTAATGTCTTTCTCAATCAAACTGACACACACAACTACTTGGAATGTCACAGATAAAACATCTCCGACATGGACTGTCCTCTCCCTGCATTAATGCATGAATCGGACATGGTGTGGGCATTTATCACATTTACTGCAGGATTCTCATATATGATCATTCATAGATTGATCACAGTAAAAACTAAAGAAAAAAGCACCAACATTTTCATTATCTATCCATCTCATTTTCATTATCTATCCATCTCCCTCCTTGTAGGATACTGCTGGAAATCTGGCCTCGTGATGAAGAAGTAATCGACATCCCAGAGATCAAATCCATTGGATCAGCTTATGGGAACACGAGAGACACGTCATCTCTAAGAGTCTCGTGTCCCCGTTGAGGGACCCAATCACTCGTGTCGCTGTTAAGGGACTCACCTGCCTCGGTCTTATTGTTAGAACTCTAGTTAGGAAAGTTCTAATTGAGTTTCATTAAAAGAGACATTCATGTAAAACCTATCTAACTAACCTATGAAGAGACCGGCTAAGGTTAGGATTAGTTTGGAGGTTACTTTTTAGAAAAGTATTAGGAGTTAGTTAGAAGTATGAGTCTTGAGTAGGAGTTCTATTAGGAGTTGGTTAGAAATATGAATCTTGAGTAGGAGTCATATTAGGAGTTGAGGTTTAGAAGTCTTATAAATAGTCATGTATTTATCCTATTTTCTTAATGAATAGATCAATCCTTTTAGCAACCTTTGAGCAATAACCTGAAGGAACGAACTCCTATAGAGTTCCAAGGAGGTCGATCCCCTAAAGAGATCAACCCCAAGCTTAGAATCTACAAAGGTTCTATCACTTGGTATCAGAGCAACGTTCTTGGTATCTCGCTGCCCTTCCACAATCATCAATCAGCCCTCCACAGCCGCCCAAACCAATTCCCACAATTGCTTAAAATATCGTCGCCGAATTCCACCGTCATCTCCACCATCACGGATCATCCTTTGATCTTCCTGTGAATTGCAACAGGTTATGGTTTCTTACCTTACTGTTGCTACAATTTAGTTATCTTTATTCAAAAATAAAAAAAAAATGTTCCTATATTGCTGCATAAACTTTTCATCGTCAAGTTTTCATCTTTACGACGAAAGATGCACCGTAGAATTCCAACTGCATAGCATAGATTGTTTGATCTTGCTACTATACTTTTTCTATCCAAATCTCTATGAAATTTTTATGACAGCTTTGACACTTCCTAACAGCGGATTTCCCTTTAGTTTCGTCAAAAAAAATTCTCAATATAAACCACTGATCTTTTACGTCTAAACTGTTACACTTTAGATGTAAAAATCTGCTGCAATACATTTCCGTGATCCTTAATTTTTTCGAACCTTCCACCACCCCATGCCATTAACCCATCAAAAAAAAAAATAGGGACATCTCTGATCTACAAGCAGATGCTATGAGTTCTCAAGATCTAATTGATGCCAAATTTGAAGTATTGGAATCTCGGATTGAATCGCGGCTTGAATCATGCTTGGAGGACAGATTGCGCGCTTTGTTTGCAGAATTCAGAATTGGACAACCGCCGAGTCCAACCAAATTTCAACGAGGAGAGAATTTAGAGAGGCATCTAGAGAAGGAGGGACAACCCTCGGACATGCTTCAGCCATGCATGAGGGTGGACTTCCCGTGATGGGAAGGAGACCCGGCGAGGTGGATTTCGTGCATCGAAAGTTACATTCGCTACTACCGAACTGTCACGAACAAACTTCGAAACAGGATGTTTGATGTAATGCTTATGTATGTCCGTGTCTTTTGGTATGTTCATGCTTTGTACAACATGTAGAGGGACAATCGAAGGCTTAATAGTCCCATTTTAGTTGGGTTGGTAGCCGCTTTAGGCTTATAAATAAAGGTTGTGTCATGTGGACAATTGTGAGAGATTTTCGATCTGTAATGGACCATTTTGACCCTTTGTTGTGCAACTGTTCAGAGCTTGTAAAGACTGTTTGTAATTTGCATTATTTATGAAGTGTTTCCTGGAATGTTTGCTTGTGGATCCCGAGTGAGGCGTTTTCTCTAACCCCTTCTCTCTTTTGGGGGTCCTAAGGGACCATGGGAGGCTTCAGAGAGGCTGACCTTTGCGAACGGACACGCAAGGGTGCCGCACGACTTAGGCAAAACCAGCTAAGTCCGTGACAGATGGTATCAGAGCGGGACAAGCACTCATAGAAACACTTAGCATGCAAACGTGGGGGACCTAGCGGGGCTGCGTTGAGGGCAGTCAGCACACGCGCGACCGTTTGGGGGAAAACATGCATGGAGATGTAGGGAGAAGAGTCGTTCGGAGGAGCGGGCATCTGAGATTGGCATTCAGAGGAATGGCCAACCCTTCGCGCAAGAGGCACCACGAGAACAGGAAAGCTTGGAAGAATATGGAGCACACAAAGGGTGGGATGGCTGAGTTTGAGCTACGACTCAACGTTGACAACTATACTTGATGGTGCTTAAGGCAAGTGAGGCACTTGGTAAATGATGAGACCATGCAAGGTGGAATGAGTTGCTCAGCGACCGAAAGAGTTGTGCAAAGCTCACAGAGGTGAGGGTAATTGCTAACTCAAAGAATTTGGTACTTATACATAGGCTTGTATGCGGACGATGGAATATTCATGGCCATCCCAAGGCGACCGAAACTCGGCACCATGGAGCATTGAAACTTTCTCTTCGGAATGTGAAGGATACGTCCGTAGGAGGCTGAAGTGTGCAATGAGTTCAACATGTTGCTAGGCCTTGAATGGTGCAGTGGGGGCTGTATTGACGTAGAGTCGCAATCTAGCAAGTGCGTTTGCAGGAGGTAGAACAATGCACAGTTTGTTCAGCAAATCAAAGTAGTCCAAGGAGATGGTGGTCTCCGAAACGAAGATAGATATTGCTTCAACAGGACAATTATCCAGGAGGGATAAGTCTCGGCTCTCCAGATGGAGAATCATGTGAGACGTACCTCATATGTTGAGGAGGAGTATCTCAACAAACAACAACTCCACGAAGCTCAATGGACCGAGCAAGCGGCGAGGATTCGTCACATGCTCTTGCTTGAGATAATGCATTGGTGGATGCATTGCGAGATCAAGTGGGGGAGCGATCTAAAGCAACACAAATGAAGGCACACTTGGAGTCGATATGGAGATCGGACTCAAGGGAGGGCTGACCCGTGGAATGGTGGGCGCAAGCGAGGGCCACCATCAACTCAATGCAAAAACGAGGAGCGGAGCAACTTGGGTGTAACTTGGCGAAGTACCCAAGCCGCATGAAGGGAGCCAGCATAGACGATGGAACATGGAGTGGAGGCACGGTGCTTTCCTTGGACAGAGGTCAAGGACATTAACTCTTGCAGAGGCAAGTGCAGGATCATATAGTTCTATGGGTCATTCATTCTGACAGAGCGGACTCATCTTGCATGGTGCCAAAGACGAAGGGAGCTTCTGGGCACATGCACCTTATCTCGGAAAGCATTTGATGGTGGAACTAAGGCGACTCAATTTGCGGAGGCGAAGTTGGGTTTAGAAGGCCATGGCACGGGGCAAGAGGACGCGGAGGCGGGTACTCTTGAAGAATATACCACAGTGTTGTCAATCAAGTTGCTAAGTAGGAAGCAGTGCACAATAAAGATTGTGTTGGTAGGGGCTGAGGCCCAGGATCCAGACAATGGTGCACCATTTTCAGCGAAGTCGGGGGACTTCGGGAGCTACTAGGCGACGGACTGTCCTAGAGCGGTGCTTCATCTATGGGTGACCCAAGAGTGGGTGGATGAAGGTCGATTGCCAAAGGAGCGAACAAAATCGAAGGTGGAAGAGACCCTGCGATGTATTGGCAGAGGCCACACATGGAGGGATCACAATTCAATTTCATCCCACAAGGATCAGAATGCAATGGAAATGTCACCAGGAGGCGACATGGTGCAGCGGATCGTGGTGGAACAGTTTTTGGCAATGCGATACACACGACATAGTCCCGTGAGGGACTAGATTATACGGAGGTATGATCGGGAGCTACTGGAAGCTCCACTTCAGTGAACAACACGACGACAAGAAGGGCTATGGATTCAAGGAGTGAAGGCTATGGTACCGTAGAGGCGGGTCTTCCGTGCATGTATCAAATTTTGCATCGGATGAAAGCCTTGGTTATCAGTATATGGGGGGGGCTGTGTTCCACCAAGGGAAAAGTTCGAATGCAAGTACCAGTGAGTTCCATGAGAGGGACTTGATCATTAAGAGGTATGATCGAAGCAGCTGGAGAGTTGGACTGCTCCAAAGCTCATATTCGCTTAAGGGAGCCCGACAAGTCAGAGGACAAGACCGAGTAAGCGAACGTTGCTACTAACGAAGCTAAGGAGAACAGAATCAGTGCAAACCCTATAATGCGATGGCAGAGGTCATGCATGGGAGTTGCAGTCTGTCTTTCCATCGACCAAAGGGAGCTGCTTGCAGAACATAGAGGTGTTGAAGCAGGGGGTCAAAAGGGGCGAGGAAGCGACGACGAGTCTAGAGAGACTTAGCTACCCAAAATCAAGCATTAGTTAGAATGGAGGTGGACTCGGAGGAGTGCCACAGAGACATATCTACTGATTGTGACAAAAAGGGATGCAGATGTGAGGCGACGGATAGTAGGGCCATGGGCATGGTAGTGCCATGGTACCGTAGAGGCAGGACTTCCGCGAAAGTCATTGATCCCTTGCTCTCATGGAGGGAGAGCGCTTGGTCGTGAAAGGGGCCGAGGAGGTGGAGCATGCAGAGGCAAAC